CTCGTCCTCGCTGCTCCTGCACGACGACGCACGACCTTATACTGCACAACAGCAGATCTCCAAGTTCCTAGAACTGGGGTTGGAAACTCTCCGTCATCCGTTGTATCCACCAGACCTTACACCTACAGACATACTTTTTCTATAATTTAGATAATTTTTTGACGGGAAAAACTTCAATACCCGGGAAGCAGTACAAAATGCCTTTAAAAATTGCCTCCCGTCCAGCTGATATCTTCAAAAAGGGGAACAGTAACTTGCCACTGCGTTGGCAAAGATACATCGATAGCATGGGTGATTTTATTACTTTGATTAATAGAAATAAAACAAAAACAAGTTAACTTATTTATTAAAAAACGGCACTTTCATAGGTAAATGCCTAATAATATGTTTAAGCTTATGCAGGCGTGTATATGCCATGAGAGTGCTTTTTATTAGATTATATAAGAAATAAACTTTATATTACAATTGAAATTTTACCATTCAACTAAAAGGTACACCAAATTATTAAAAAAATAATATGAAAATCAAAAATGTTGAGTAAGCAGTTTGTAATAAAATATTTCATCATAGGTAAATACATAATATAATAATTACAGCCCTTAAAAAGTCCACTGCTGTACATAGGCCTCCCCCAAGGTATGCCACAAAGCACGGTCCTGAGCCACCTGCATCCATCGACTTCCTGCATGTCTTACCAGGTCGTCACTCCATCTAGTCGGGGGTCGCCCAACACTTCGCCGGCTGCCTGCCTGGCTGCACGAGGCTGCCATTCATGAACCTTTTTTCCCCAACGATTGTCGGTTCTTCGAGCTATATGGCGACCCCATTGTTACTTCAGCTTACTAATCTGTTGCGCTATGTCGGTCACTCTGGTTCTACTGCAGGTATCCTTATTTCTTAGTTTATCACGCAGAGAAACCCCGAGCATAGCGATAGCCATATATAGCTCGCTGAGCGACTTTGAGCGTCCTCATACGGCCAGCAGTGAAGAACCACCTCTCGGCTCCATAGGTCATCACTGGCGACATGCACTGGTTGTAAAACTTAGTTTTCAGGTTTTGAGGTATACCTGAAGAGAAGATGTGTCGTAATTTTCCGAACGCTGCACAGCCGAGTTGAATCCGTCGATTGACCTCTCGGTCGAAGTTGGACTTACCTCTTCAATCAATTGATCGAAGACTTACCTAGTCGGACTATTTGTCCCAGGTAAACGTACTCGTCAACAACTTCGAGCTTAGTGTTCCCAACAACTACGGGCATAGGAGTGACCTGGACATTAAACATGATCTTTCTTTTGTCCGTGTTCATCTTAAGACCTATCCGTTCTCCAGCGATTCTGCCATAAGGACTATATCGTCGGCAAATCGAAGGTGAGTGATGTACTCACCATTGATGTTAATACCGTATCCTTTCCAGTCCAGTAGTTTAAAAACGTCTTCCAATGCAGCGGTGAAGCGTTTCGGGGAAATAACGCCGGAAAATATTTATGACCTCCTACTCTATTGTACAAATAGTTATGTTACCACGTTACAATAAAAAAATCACTTGCAATCTTACGCCCTAGATATCGAACGTAGTATGGCTACATCATATTAATGTAATTTAATTTTTTATTAATTATATTATTAATTTATATTAATATCCTTTTTTGTTTGCGAATTTAGTCACGACATCATGACAAGCCTGTCCGCATTACTTCTATTGAGACGACAATAGGGAGAAGGACTTGCATGTCAAGGTACTCAACTTGATAAGTATAAAGAAAATTTACTTAAGTGTCGGATATTCTATTTTGGTGTTTTTTTATGTAGGAACATCAAGCTTAGTTGATATTGCCTTTCTCTTAGGATGTGATATATATTTATACTCGGTAGAGTCAAGAAGCAGCTATATAATGGTTGGAGAACGAATAGCTCGGCCTCTACTGAGGGAGGATCACGCTCGCCAAGAATAACACTGTATAATAGCAGATTAATGAAGCTGTGTATTGTGTAATTTAGAGAATCGGAAACTCTTTTCACAGGAAACGAGGCATCCCATCTTTGTCATCTGCGCTGTCAGCGCATCTATTTTCTTTCCTTCTAGTCGAGGAAACGAGGAAGACACCCAACACTAGTCGCGACGGTTATCATATTTTAAAACTTTATTTCTATGTAAAGTATACGTTTTTAAAGCTCTTGGTTATCCACGACACATAATTAATTAAATCATCCGCAACCATGATAAAAATTAGCTTTAAATAAAAGTAAAATATAACCTTCCCCTTTGCATTGCCGTAGTTAAAAATAAAGTAATAATAATGTCCTCCAGACCGATTTTGGTTACAGCGGACAGTTTCAATGAACGCAAGCGGGAGAGGATTATAGTGTCCAAGTGTACGTGCAAGCACAGGTGCACTCACTATTCCCTCACTCTCATAGCTCGATAGTATGGTAATCCGTCGGAGAGAGATCAGTCACAGGTCCAACGGCTTCACGTCCATTCCGGGGTAGGAGCGCGAAACATCACTAATTTTCTGACTCCGGGCTGCTACTGAGAATTTCTTGACAGAAAACCAAATAACTGATTTTATCCCGACCTGGGATTCGAATCCGGGATTGATTAGTAATCAGGTTGACGACCACTAGACCGACGAGGTAGTCCTAGGACAGAATGTAGCTTATGTCTTATATGTTACCCAAGCTCTTTTTACAATCCAAACTATAGAAATTTGTCCAGTAGTTTGTAGGTAAAAATAATAAAAAGACAGAACATTCTAAAAACTGTTGTTTTGACTCTGAAGTAGGTTTTATTTACTGGACTTGTTTGACACCAAAAATATTTGAGTAACAGGCACAACTTTTCTATAGATACCATTTATTTATATAGATTAATAAATAATGTATGTATCGATTGTATTAATGTAGTAAATTTCCACTGTTTATGTAACAAATTACAATTAAATTATTAAAATACGAAACGTTCTCGAAATTACTCTGTGTGAATTGACGTCAAATACTTGATGTGATTTTAATTGAGCGATATATGATGACTATGTTATTTGAGAACTAATGTGTTACTTTTTTGCTTGTGTTTAGTTATTGGCAAAAATTTACTATTATACCATGCTAAATTCCTTCCATTTGAAAATAACGTTCCATTAATAAAAAGTACTCGCATACATATATACCTCTTTACATATACTTATTACATATGCAATTATCGATCGATCATGATATCAACCATGATAACGATGGGGCAAACGGTGCCAAGAATATCCGGCGAAGTTTCGATTGCAACGTAAAACAACTTGACCTGGCATCATGTTACGTACGCATCCTGACGAGAAGATCCTGGAACTGGAAGTTGTGCTGGGATTCTATTGGATTATCTTACTTAAATACGAAGAGAGGGGGAAGACAAAGTAAACCTGGAATCCACTAACATGATCTACCACCGGGAGGGCGACCATTAACATCGTGGTTATAATATACAAGGATACTCAAAATCACCAAATGGTAACAACTTAACATAAAAATTGCTTAACACGCCAACCTTGACGCACTGATAGAAAGGTGGAGACGATTAATGAGGGCAATTTTAAACACTAAACATTCGTCAAAAACTTCATTCAATTGATGAACTCCTTCTTCTAAGTCTTCTTGAGCTCAGTTTTGCAAAACCCCTTTTAGAAGAACCGAAAAACTCCCTCTTAATCCCGTGGGTGTTAGACGGACAACTAAGCTGCACTCTTCAACAGATATGGCAGTGTATACGAAACCGAACAGACGAGAGACGCAGTTATAACACAGCTCATATTGAAGAAGCAGTGGAGTGGAACTAGAACTTTATAATCTACGCAAAAGCTTTATCTGCCGGAAAGAGCTAACTGTTTACAAAAAATCAGAATAGTTTTTATTACCATCATCGCGTTAAAGGTCATATTTCTGAGGAGTATTCAATAAAATATGTATAATGACGATAGCACACACTTAGCTTAACATTGAAATTAGTTTTATATGTGAAATAATATTTGAACCGATCCTAAGTTCAGCAAATATTTGAGTATTAATATTCAATTTACTTTGCATGTAGTTAAAATAAATGTATTTAGATTAGGGACATCATTGTCCTTATAAGGTGCCTCGTGCGTATAAAATGCAAGCTGTTTCTTTTTTTTTTTGAAGTCTAGTGTAACGGAGTACGCTTACCTCGGACCCCTGGATTCAGCAGCAGGCTATGCACAGCACCGGCTACCTTCTCGATCCAGGGGCCAAGGCGCTTAAAGCGTTCTTCGAAGTCACGGCGACTGTCTAGGTGGAGAACTAGGTATTACATGGATTGCTCCACTCTGACACCAGACCCACCCCACATGGACACACGATTCGGGTGGTTCCCTGACCCGTGGTTGCGTATGAAACCATAGGGTGTCGGTCTTGTGAAGTGCTATTTCTAATCCCAACGAATGGACTTTGGTTACTGGCGATGACAAATCCCCTCCCAAGCGCTTTGAGCTTTTTAGTCCTCTCGAAGGTGATCCCGATGGCGACCACCAGCTTGTCGTCAGCATAACATAAAATATTTTGGTAAATAATTTTGGTAAATAATTACGACGTTATAGTATTTACGGAGACTTGGTTAAATCTGGATGTTGCTAGCAGTGAAATTTTCGATTCTAGATATAAGGTTTATCGTAGGGACCGTGTATGTTCGAAATCCACTAAAATGGACGGTGGAGGAGTATTAATAGCTGTATTGCGAAACATTCCATCCGCTCGTGTTGAGCGATGGGAAAGTAACTGTGAAGATTTATGGATATCGGTACAAATAAAATTGGCAATATTATGTCGGATATTGCCATTTGCGCGGTATATTTACCTCCACCAGTTAAATCAGATACTTTAACATATTTCCTTGACAAAGTTGATAACGTAACGAACCAACCCAATAACGTTCTAATTATGGGCAATTTTAATCTAGGATTCATTAACTGGAGTAGAGATCATGATCATATTGCTCAAATGGTTCCATCTAATTACAATAGTACCCTCGGATGCGGTCTTCTTGATTTCATGTCTCTTAACAACTTTAGTCAATTTAACAACATACCAAACAGTGACGGCAGATACTTAGATCTCATTATGAGCAACTTTCCCGGTGTTGATGTCTCGGAGCCTCTAGAACTCTTGAGTAGGCTGGACTGTAAACATCCTAATATTTTAGTAACGTTGCAAAAAACAAATTTTACTTATCTCCAGCCTAAGAAACGAACTGACCACAATTTCTATAGGGCAAATTACGAGGAAATTGCCTCGGACCTGGATTGTATAGATTGGGTGGAGAGGTTTTGGAGCTGTAGCAACGTCAATGAAATGGTTACAAAATTCTATGATGAGCTGAACTGAGCTGAGAATGGTTTAGCCGCACCCTAATTAAACTTCTATCTGAGAAAAATAAGCTACGCAACAGATATCGAAAATATGGTAATTCACGTGACAAATTTGAACATGACCTTTGACGGAGCCGCTGTCACAAGCTTATTGACAAGTGCTATAGTGACTATAAGACAAATATTGAGAATGGAATATCGCGTAATGTCAAATCTTTTTGGCAATACATAAAAGACAAAAGTAGCAACCAGTCAACTCTTTCGTCAAAAATGCAATTAAACGATTTCATTGCAGAATTTAGTTCCGAAGTAGCTACTCTTTTCGCCAGACATTTTGCTTCCACGTTCAGCTCAAATTTTGAAAAAACAATCACATCTTCGAGGATTTATCGCCACTTATTTTATCGAATATTCAATTTTCTGAAAATGATACCTTAAGAGCAATTAAACGATTAGACATACAGAAAGGAGCCGGTCCTGATAAAATACCTCCTCTATTTATAAAGACCTGTGGATCTCTTTTGTCTCAACCATTAACTAACTTCAATTGTTCGCTCAAAGATGGTGTGTTCCCCGAGGAATGGAAAAAAGCAAAAATAGTACCTGTATACAAAAAAGGTGAAACAAGCAACGTTAAAAACTACCGGCCGATTTCCATTTTATCCACATTTTCGAAATTGTTCGAGTCTCTGATTAATCCACTAATTATTAGCCACATAGATACTTCACTAACTGAGTACCAGCATGGGTTCCGCAGGGGCCGCTCAACACAGACTAATTTGGTCTCATTTATTTCAGAAATTGCACTGGAGGTTGATAGTGGAAGTTAAATTGATGCTGTATACACAGATTTTACCAGTGCTTTTGACAAAGTAAATCACGCACTACTTTTAACAAAATTGCAAATGAAAGGGATACATGGTAGTTTGCTTCACTGGTTTAGATCTTACCTTGGTATGAGACCCCAGACTGTTGCTGTTGGAGGTTTTGAGTCAGATATATATTTTGCATCGTCAGAAGTCCCACAGGGATCTCACTTAGGCCCACTCCTATTTCTTATATTTATTGACGATATAGCGATGCACATAAAAACTGTAAATTCAGCTTATTTGCAGATGATTTAAAAATTTACAGAGCAATCAATTCTTCCCATGACATAAAACTTATCCAGGAGGATTTAGACAGTATTCACACATGGTGTGAATCAAATGATATGACCCTAAACGTTGATAAATGCTACCATATCAAATTCACAAAAAAAGAAAAATCATTTCCCATCAACTTATGAAATTAACGGCTCAACATTAACTGAAGTAGAAGAAATAAGAGATTTAGGTGTAACAGTAGACAAGCACCTTAACACTTCACATTAACAATATTGCATAAATCCTCGAAAATGCTTTTTTCTTAGGCGAAGTACATTTCTACACCCGAAAAAAAAATTATTGATACGCTATCTGGAGCCGTATATCTGTTCACTCTCAACGCTTGGAGGGTATTCAGCGTAGATTTACTAGACATTTGGCATTTATTACGCAGGGCGTGTCACACCGGTCACCATAATATGAGCATCGTCTTGTCTTTTTTAAAATGAAATCGTTGCGTAGCCGTCGAAGGAATCAGGATTTGGTGTTTTTGCACGGACTTGTCAACGACAAAATAAAATGTAATGAGCTCCTAGAACGTGTTAAATTGACGGTGCCTGCTCGCATACCCCGACATCCTATCAAAAAAACTTTTGCCTTGCCTTCTGTGAGGACTAACCTTGACGCCATTCTCCTCTCGTCAGATGTTGCGCACAGTACAACGAGATGAATATCGAAACATTTGACATTTTCCACGACTCGTTGATTAAATATAAACGAAAACTGGTCGGCCCTTTGTGAAGAGGCAATTGTTCTTAGTTAAGTTCTTAGTATTTTTTTTTGGTGAATTTTACTATTTTATTGTTTTAAAATTTTCAGAAAAATAAAAAAAAAAAAAAATATATATATATATAATGTTGTTACTTAATATCATCTGTCAATGTTGTGTACACCTATAATAGGTAAATGTATAAGAAATTATACTATAAAAATGTAACTTATAATATAGTATACATGTACTGTTGGTATACCTTTTAAATAAAAAAAAAATATTTATGCCAGCAAGGCGAACTGTACATCTACAATAACATCAGTACAGTTATAGCCAATTCTAAATTAAGTATGTTAAGTGTTCATAGACATGTTCTAGACGGTTAATGGATGGTGATAGTAATTATTTTCGAGTCACCACTTGGACAGAGCCGTGGTAGCTCAGATGGAAAGCCGTGGTAGCTCAGATGGAGAGCTGTGGTGGCTCAGATGGTTAACGCTCGCTGTAAATATAACAGAACGCGATTAACCCGGGTTTTATTCAATGTGTAATCAAAAAATCGGGGAAATTCCAAAGAATCTCCGGAGATTCTCCGGTTATGCCCGACAGTGAAGGAAAACTCTGTAATAAATCTGCATGAAATAAGAGTAGGTATTTAGAAGACATAATATAAAGTTTGCCATAACTGTCATAGAAATAAAAAGACTGTGCCTCTATTAGTTAAACTGTGCCTGTGCCCATCTGGGGGACCTACAGGTAGCTAAATATAGTCTGAAACTAACTTTAATTATTCGAAAACCTTTACCTAAATTAACCGCGGCGCGAGACTGAGCTTCATAATTCATGATGTAAACAATTATTTGAGACTAAGGTATTTTAGGAGATAGACAAGCCGTGTGAGTAAAATTATATACCTAATTTATAAATGAACACTTATTATGTATATAAATCGAAATTTTTAATAGTTTAAACTGGAAATATTTATAAAATATTTTTTACTTGTGCATAAAATAATTTTGAATAACAACCGTGTTCACAAAATGTGTTTTTGTGTGATATAATTATTTACAATGACCGACAAAATTATCAAAGGGAGTCCTACATATGCTGATTGGCTGAATCACCATCAGCCTTTTTTAAAAAAACACTGGTAGTAGTCATGTTTCGGTTTATATAATTTATATGTTTAACAAAAAAAACTGTAAGCACTGACATAACGTCACAATTGTTAATTTCCGACAGTAATCGGAAATTCTTAGCGTGATCAAAAGTGAACATGTGTAGAAAAAACCCACCTACGTAAGTAAATTATGAAGTATGAATACCATTTTAAATAATTCTGTTTTAAATTATACCGACTTGGCTGGATAAATTTAAAGCGGAATTCTGGTGAGTAATACGAGCTTTTATTACTTACCATTGTACTCTATCTAATAGGTATACCCATTAGATAGAGCACAATGGCAAATAATATAGTTTCAAATTTCTCGTTATGTAGGTAGGTAATTGATCTATTAGAAAATTTGCTAACGCTCGCTGCTTGTACATCAGTAGTGATGCGAGTAATTAATATGTTTTGTTAAAAAAGTTTACTCCAATATTTAATAAAAAATGAAGTTTTGGGTTTAGATTAGGTATTCAGCTATTGTATAATAGGTATATGTAAAAGGTATCTACAACACGTAACATAATTAACGCACTTTGAGAAAGTAGTTTGTTCAGAATCGTTTACTGAATCGATTTCTATCATTTTTAGTATAGATAATTTTTTTATCCCAAAATTAATTGAAACTAAGTAATGTACAGTCAAAACCTGTACAGTCAAAACAAACTGAGATGGACCGTAACTCAAGGCAATAAGACTTTTAAAAGTGCAGTTTTATTTATATTAATACAAATTATGTCATTAAATAAAAATAAAGAAAAATGAACTTTATTTCAAGCACGTTAAGGTCTTTGCGTTCGTGGATTTGTACTGTGACCACAACATTCTTCCGGAATTAGTATAACTAATTTGATAAATAATTAGTGCATAAAAATGTTTAACTAAAAATTCAGTGTATGTATTATGATTATAACATAATATACTAATTGGGGTGTCTGAGGGTGTGCGTTAATTACGTTACATATTATATATAAAAATGAGTATGCATTTTGGTTGTTAGTCTTCTATACACAGTCTGTTCAAAAAGTATCGCGAATTTTGTATTTTTTCAAAAAGTATTTATTTATTCATGAATATCTATTTTGTCTCCTTCAAAGTAATCCCCCTCAGATATAATGCACTTGTGCCAACGTTTTTTCCAATCCACGAAGCACTTAAATAATCATTTTTCGTGATCCTCTTCAGCTCTTCCTTCGATGCCGTCTTTATCTACTCAATGATGGCGTAGCGTCGTCCTTTCATGGGCCTCTTCAGTTTTGGGAACAGTAAAAAGTCACAGGGAGCCAGGTCTGGAGAATACGATGGCTGTGGGATCATTACTGTGTTGATTTTGGATTAATATTCGCGCACAAGCAATGATGTGTGAGCAGGGGCGTTATCATGATGCAAAAGCCAGTTTATATCCTTCCACAAATCCGGGCGTTTCTGGCAGATTGCTTCACGCAAATTGCGCATAACTTGCAGGTAATATTTCTTATTGATCGTACTACCCTTTTTTTTACATGGGGAAATGCCTACGCATACCCGCCTCGCGGGGGCAAGGACGGGTTATGTCGGACTCGCACCGACTAAAACCCCATGGTGTTCCACCTTTGTCGCATATTGGCAGGGCTACGGGAACGCTTTCGCACACATCCGCGGCCCTACTAGCGCCTGCCGCCCCATGGCAGCACCTCCTCGGGAGAGGAAAATTCCTCCCCGTTCTCCTTCCCAGGTAAGGCCCACCAGAACACATGGCGCGCCTTCCTCCACGGCCTCCAATTACGTCTGTGCAACAGACGCCCCCGCGTCCGATGCACAAAGGCCATGGGGCCAGGAAAAACGAGCACTTAGAAGTACTAGCCTTCCCGACCCCAGCGGCGGATCTGGTCTATGGCTCCGCCGCCAACCAAGATTCGGCTGCGGAGGGTAGGGAGAGCGGCGCCTCGCAGTACCGACAATCCTCTCCCCCCGCAGCCCCACCACCACCGCATCAACGGTGCGGCCCCGTTTGAGTCGCGAAGGATAGGGCGAGTGGCGCATCGCCATACCAACACTCCTCTTCCTCCGCGACTCCACCTCGGCTGCAGCGGTAGAGGGTGCGCGAGTCCCCACTCGCTGCAGTCCACCAGCACACATCCAAAGTGGGCTCCCCAAGCCCACTCGGAGTGGCCACCTCAGGCCGGCCCTTCACCTCGGGCCAGCCACGTGGGTTGCTCTTTGTTCACCGTGGGAGACCAAGCCACGGCTACTAAGCCCCCCCGCCACGACAAGGCGGGAACCCGTTCGGGGGGGTGATCGTACTACCCTGTGGCAAGAACTAATGATGTAGCACGCCCCTGCAATCGAAGAAAACTGTGCGCAAAACGTTCGACCGAACTTTTTACGGCCGCTTTTTACGGTCTTGACTCATGCGGCAGCTTCCATTGGGATGATTGAGCTTTGGTTTCCACGTCATAAACATAAACCCATGATTCGTCACCAGTTATGACCCTCTGGAGCACATCTGGGTCGTCACGGACCGAGGTCAACATCTCCTGATCAATGTTAGCGCGATGCTGTTTTTGGTCGAAATTGAGCAATTTTGGCACGAATTTCGCAGCGACCCGACTCATGGCCCAAATCATTACTTACAATCGAATGGCACGAGCCAATCGATATGTTTAGGTCCTCAGCAACTTCTCTAACGGTTATTCGACGATTAAACAATAATATTTTCTTCTTTTTATCAATGTTATCGTCTGTTGTTGACGTGCTCGGGCGTCCGGCACGCTGTTCGTCGTTCACATCTTCTCGGCCCTCTGAGAACATTTTGTACCACCGATAAACGTTGTTTTGGTCCAAGGCAGCTTCACCATATGCCACAGTCAACATTTGGAATGCGTCCGCGCACTTTATTTTGTTTTTCACACAAAATTTAATACAGATTCTTAGATCCATTTTTTTTGGAATAGGCAAAAATCGAAGGCGAGCCAAAACACATCCAAGCAAAACAGCTGTCAAAAATTAATTAAGCGTTCAAAATGGCCGACCTTGTCAGCATAAGTAAGAGACATGAGTACCAACGTAAGGCTACAAAAAATAAAAAATCAAGTATATGTAGCCCGCGGAAATTCAAAATTCGCGATACTTTTTGAACAGAACTCGTATGTTCGCATACAATTCAACTGATTACGATGAAACTTTAGTGAGTTGTTGAAGATTTCTGACAAAAAGCTGAAGAATACTTGTTCATTTGTTTGTCTTCTATGCGTTTTCACACTAATCTTAACAATAATTATTAATCGACAATGAAACTTTGGGCATTACAACGGATGCCGGGCACAGCAAGTACTTATATATATATATATATATATATATATATATATATATATATATATATATATATATATAAACTAACTGGTGGTTAAGAAAAGAAAGAAAATACTCCTGAAAAATAATGTAAAATAATGTTGATAATTTAATGTTGGGGTTTAGGTTAACATTCTACGCCAAATATTCAAACTTCAGGTCCGTAATACGTAATACGTAATTACTAATATTTCATGTACGAGCTATAGATCCGTGTTATACGGACGTACAGATGAACAGACAGACAAACTGACAGACAGCTGCAGTGGCGAAGCTAGGGCTCCAAACTAGGGCAAGCCCAAGATATGGTTTTGTTGTTTTTAGCAGTTTAATAAAAATACACCAATCTTGAGCTGTCTCCACTCTTTAGTTTCATATTCAGTGCTGACAAGGACGTGTTTAACAAAGCACACAGAAAGCATACTACCGCTAGATAGATTGTATGACATAATATGCAATTGCACACCTTCGGTGGTTTTGAAAAGAGCCGTATGGGTTTGCTTGAGATATTTACAAACAATACAATACATGAACAAAGTACAAACAATGTACCAAGTTAAAAAAGGGACGCCTGGCAGATGTGAAACCTCGAAATAATATTTTGTTTAAGTTATATGCATAAAAGAACAGATTACGACAGGAATTAGATAGTTATAATGAGAAGATAAAGCTTTGCTAATTTTTTACCATAAAATAATGACTACTTATTATAATTATAATTATTCATTTTTAATTCATAATAAACCGTACAAAATGATATTTTTAAACTCATATATAAATTAGCCGATAGCGTATTTGTGCCATCTAGCGTAATCTTTAGGTATATTATTCTTTAAGTTACCGAAGGTTGGTAAACTATTTACTAATCTGTGCCGAAGGATTTTTCAAGTTATGAAACTTGAATTTATTTAATTTGTATTGTTAGATATGTACTTATAGCAAAAAATAATTAAGTAACAATTTATCTTAATACCTACGAACTTCACTACAAAAATTAGTTGAAATTTACTTCACTATCAAAGTATCTACATACATACCTATACTTGTCTCTTGTATTTAAAATATTTTAATTTATAATAACACAAAACACTGAAATTAAAACTTTGTTTACTAACAAAATTTTTAACTAAGTAGAATACGATTACATTTCTTTTAGGAATTGTATTTCAAGTATATTTGTTGTTTACACTACCTCTACCTTTTTCTTCCGAGCCAAGCATCGCGATTCCCGACGAATTGAGCTCTGTGAACTTGGAACCCGAACTAAATAAAATAAAAAAAATAATACTTGATTCGTGTACTACAAACAATGCAGGTGATTGTATTAACCTTTATTCGTTTGTAGTCCTATAAAATCTTATGAAAATCACAAAAAGTTAAAAATTTTCATGAAATATGCAAATTTTCAAAAAATCTTGATTGTCATTGCATTCAGCATCGTTTGTAGTATATTGTAATAACCTTTATTCGTTTATAGTCCTAAAAAAACTTCTTAAGAAATCACAAAAAGTTGTAAATTGTCATGAAATATGCAAATTTTCAAAAAATCTTAATTGTCAATGCATTCAGCATTGTTTGTAGGAGATTGTAATAACCTCTATTTGTTTGTAGTTCTAAAAAATCTTATGAAAATCACAAAAAGTTAAAAATTTTCATGAAATATGCAAATTATCGAAAAATCTTGCTTGTCATTGCATTCAGCATCGTTTGTAGGATATTGTAATAACCTTAATTCGTTTGTAGTCCTAAAAAATCTTATGAAAATCACAAAAAGTTAAAAATTTTAATGAAATATGCAAATTATCGAAAAATCTTGCTTGTCATTGCATTCAGCATCGTTTGTAGGAGATTGTAATAACCTTTATTCGTTTGTAGTCCTAAAAAAACTTCTTAAGAAATCACAAAAAGTTGTAAATTTTCATGAAATATGCAAATTTTCAAAAAATCTTGATTGTCATTGCATTCAGCATCGTTTGTAGTACATTGTAATAACCTTTATTCGTTTGTAGTCCTAAAAAAAACCTTCTTAAGAAATCACAAAAAGTTGTAAATTTTCATGACATATGCAAATTTTCGAAAAATATTGATTGTCAATACATTCAGCATCGTTTGTAGGAGATTGTTATAACATTTATTCGTTTGTAGTCCTAAAATATCTTATGAAAATCACAAATGGTTAAAATTTTTCATGAAATATGCAAATTATCGTAAAATCTTGCTTGTCATAGCATTCAGCATCGTTTGTAGGAGATCGTAATAACCTTTATTCGTTTGTACTCCTAAAAATCTTATGAAAATCACAAAAAAGTTAAAAATTTTCATGAAATATGAAAATTTTCGAAATGTCTTGATTGTCATTGCATTCAGCATCGTTTGTAGGAGATTGTTATAACTTTTATTCGTTTGTAGTCCTAAAAAAACTTCTTAAAAAATCACAAAAAGTTGTAATTATTCATTAAATATGCAAAATTTCGAAAAATTTGATTACAATGCATTTAGAATCGTTTGTAGATAATTGTAACACTAAAAGAACATTGTAGATTTTATATTATAAAAAGAGCTATGATTAAAGATAATAAAAATTAATACGTATTCCACAAACAACGCGCAGGTTATTGAAATATCCTGTATTCGTTTGTAGTCTTAAAAATAGTACAGTACAGAACCATCTTTTTCTGGTTTCGATGATATTAGGGCTGTTAGCCAATGCGGCTATTACAGCTTTATTGGAATACAGCTTCTTAGGACACAGAACCGTCTTTACATAGATCCATAGATAAATAGATATGTAGCAAGCTACATAAATCTACTACCGCCTAAAACTACATGATGAACATGAGAAACCTCTATAGTACGCCCAATAAGAGGAATACATGAATACCCTATTCTTTTTGTGTTGTGTGTGTCATTCATAATTTTTTATATTTTTCATAAGAACGTTTACAAAAAAAATCGTATAAATTACTAATATTTATAAAAATACGATAGCCAGTGGACGACGTGAAAATACGGCAGATCTACTGTAATTACTTCTCTTTCTAATAATTCTCTTCGTGTTGTGTGTGTCATTCATAATTTCCGATATTTTTAATTGGAACGTTTATTATATAATAAAATTTTATTTTTTGTTTTACAAATAACTATTAATAGAATTTAAATCTTATATATTTCGGATATATCTATAAATATTTACTTACACGATAAACTAAAACATAAATATCAATATTAGCCAATTATTGCTGATAGATGGCGATTTGCACCCACATTTACCTCCTTTTCATTCTCTGGTATCATGGAGTATAGAGGTACTCTACACTCCATATCTGGTATATAATGTTTTTCAGTTTCAGTATTATCTATGCTTTTCAGTTTTTATTACAATGTAATCTATGGTATGGTATTCATACTGCATATGGCGTCTTCTACATGCAAAGTGAATGTTATTGTCTTCAATATTTTATAAAGAAATTCCGAATACTACATAAAATTCATCAGTGTAAGTTTACAATTCTTTTTCTATTATACTTTGTTATTTTTTAAGTTGTTTTTAACTATTATTTCACACTTCAATCATCCTTTTGCTGATTATGTTGATGTTGTTTACAGATAGACCTTCCCTCGCTAGTGGTTCAAAATGCCACGTCAATCACTCTACACTCCTGAAGAAGTTCATGAGGCTTTAAAAGATAAAAACTTTATGGATGATGGAAAGTATTTGGAAAGAAACCATCACATTTGGACAGAAGCACGTGATTTGCTTCCAAAAATGACTGTTGACTATTTATGGATTTACATTACAAAAAATCGTAACGATGTCTCTTCGAGAATTCACAATGTACCTAAATTGAAAGTAAAAAATAAAAAAAAAGTTTGTAATATTTCCAACTGGTCGATGAATGACAATAAACATGGTTTGGAGGAATTAAAAGGGACAATTCACTTCACTCTTAAACAATGGAACCAATTTGGATTAAATTTAAAATTGTATAAAGATGGTCGAGAGTATGAAGTTTTTGAACCCGGTTGGACGGACCTAATTTATCAATCTTTATGGGAAAATTTTAAGATACCTTGTCCTTTTAAATTCCAAAGTGCAAAAATAAAAAGAAATACTGAGGAACATTTTCTTATGATCAAAGGCACTTGCATTGAATGCCAAAATAATATTAATATCTATAGTGTAAATGAGCCAAACGGTGATGGTATAGACATTATAGTGTCAACATTCGATGCAAAAAATGTCCAACATTATAAGAAAAGACAACTACGTGGGAGAACACGTGAGAAAGTGGCTAATATTTTGAAAGGACAATCGACATATATGTATCGACGTAATGTTGCTAATCAACGCATGCATTTTCAAGACCAGGAACCCGCCGATTTGTTCAATGATTATGTATTAAGAAAAGCTAAACAACAGCAAATCGACAAAGAGCTCTGTTTAGAACCCAACACCAACGAAGTAGTTGCAGTTATGAGTTTAAAAAAAATCCTAAATACTGTGGAAGTATTCGAGAGATTGGAGCCGATCGATTATACGTAATGTACTAGTTACCTGAACAGGTATATTTATATAATTTCTTTTGAAAAACGATCCCTTAGGGAGTATTTGTATTGACGCTACTGGAAGCTTGATAAAGTCTGCATTAATGTCGGATGGCTCTGAACCTCCCATTTTTCTCTACCAAGCTATTGCATCATACAACAACAAATCTTTGCCGTTGTTTCAATTAATTTCAGCAAAGCATGATGCAAATACTCTTTCATATTGGTTGAGGGAATGTCTTCGCTCTGGTGTAAAAGCTCCGAAACAAATAGTCTCCGATTACTCACTGGCGCTTCTCAATGCATCTTCAATCGCGTTCAACCAAACGTCTTTGAGATGTTGAATATGTGGATGAATGTTTCGCTCAAATAACTAGCGATCAGCCATTTATTAATAAAGAAACAATCCTAAGAATCGATATAGCTCATTTGATCAAGTTTGTAACGAAATGGCCATGTTTGAATAAAATTCGTCATAAAGACTTTTATGTGAGATGTATCGGATTTCTGGTAAAAAGCTCAACACTTGAAGATTTTAAGGAAATATTAATATCAGTGTTGACAGTGGCTTATGCCCAAAATTATGAAGAAAATGATGATAACTTATGTTTCAATTATCGTAAAAAGTTATTGAATATGATAAAAACTGTGTCAAACCCTAAAAATTTTTCTGATAAGGAGTTATTTGCAGAATTATCCGTCGTCGATCAAGAAGAAGAGGTTGAAAATCTTAAAAAAAAGGAAAAGAAATAAAAAATCTCGACCAGTTGAAGATTTTTTAGAAGTATTACATATTAAATATCAAATAAAAACAGAGGTAACCTTGACAATGAATATTACAATCCTGATTTTGCCCAACGACTTATAAATTTTTCAAAAAACTTTGTTTTATGGTCTGCAGTGATGCCGTATTTATTTTATAAGAAAAACTTAACTTTACTACAGTTAGACTAAATTACTAGTGCAAGTTCAGCCACGAAGATTTAAAGATGTAAAAAAGTTAATTTTTAACAATCAAAAATACCTCAAAATTGATAAATATTTATCAATTCATTTAAATGCTTTAAACGGCACCATGAATTTAATTGGAGCTCAGACAAATGTAAAAAATAAGATTGATAGTGAGCAAGATTCAGAATTAAGTTCTTCTAGCAATAGTAGTGACAGTGATATCAGCTCGTGTAGTTAAAAACAATTTCATTTTAATAGTTATAACATTAAGAAAGAACCAAATACTGAACTAGATGTAACTTTAACTAATTCTAAGGAAGATTCTTCTTGTGATACAAGTGTAAGACTAAATAGGATAAAGAATTTTCGTAAAAAAGCAAAAATTCTAGATAGTGACATTAGTTCATTTAGTGATATACAAGCCAATATAGATAATAATAATTTTAAAAAAGAACCAAATATTGAATCAGATGCAGCTTTTACTAAGTATAAGGAAAATTCTTTCTGTGATATAAGCATAAGACTGACTGGGATAAAGAATTTTTGTAAAACAAAAGAAATTATTGATAATGATAGTATGTCATGAGGAAAAATCAGAATTTAAGAATGATAACATTAAAAAAGAACAACATACACATGTTAGTGAGGCTAAATAAGTTTCGAGTGAAAATTCTTTTTGTAAAATGGAGATGGATGAAAAGATGAAACTTAATGTTAGCCATATGTGTGAAACCCGTTATGAATCTTTTAACAAAAATCCAATTGGTAGTTCTACTTTAGACAATGATGGTGGTGATAAAAATTGCTCAATTGAATAAAAAAGACCAGTTAAAAGGTATTCTTAAAGAAAAAGTACCCGCTAATTCTTCAAATGTTCTTAACAATTATTTGAATCATGTAGATGAGTGGAAAGGAATATTATTAAACAAGAAAAAACCCAGCCACTACTACCAAACAGTTCCAGATATTGAAAATTTTCATAAACTGCCAAAATCTAAAAGATCTCTCCGATTAATAGTTAATGGGACAAGCGTGAATCCCGTTACCACAAGTCATGGGCTAATGAAAATTAGTAACACATGTGCTGTGGATAGTGTTCTTCATGCTATCCGTGTTGGATACATAGATCGGTACAATTACAATACGCATGTGAACAAAAGTAATTCCAGTGTTTGAAATTGTGAAACTACTTTCAAGTCACAAGAAAACCAGTGAAATTTATGAGAAACGGGCAGAACTCGTTCTATCTTATAAAAAACCAGAAGGGGCAATTGTCAATGCAGTAATGAATGTAGGAACAGTTATCGACTCTATATTGGAAGATGAACCATCATTAATAACGGATAACAGTTGCAGCCGATGCAAAATTAAAAAGATAAAGAGTTATCCATCATTGGGAATAGATTTTACACCAATATACCAAGTTGGAATTGATGGTTTACAACAAGCTATCAATTTATATTTAAATTCACATTTGAGTACCTGCAAAAAATGTAAAAACTGTAAAAAAAAAAATAACTTTTCAATTATTCAATGTGGAAGCCATTTATTCATTGACATCGAAGGTTTATTGGCGGTATTGAAGTATTGAAGGTTTATTGAAGGTATATTAACTTTATTGGCGGAGGCGTGTACCGAATATAATTAAAGATTTCAACGAAAATTATGAGAAAATTTCGCTTCACAATATACCGCACATCTTAACAATTTTTGAAAAGAGTTTTGTCTTAGTAGCGGTAATTGAACACATAAAATTACTTGATATGGACCATTATCAAACTATTGGAAGAAGACAATCAGGTAAATGGGAAATACATGATGGTCTCAGTAACAAGTTTGTCATAAAGAAAATAACGGCAAAAGAATTGGAGAAAAATAAAAAAATACGTATCCTATTTTATGTCAACGAAAACTTTGCAGTGAAATAAAAAATATTTAAAAATTAATAAAACCCTGTTTTTTGTCACTGTTTTTAGACTGTGCCTTCTTAAAAAGGGAATGCCCACCGTTCAGTCACCTCGGCCATGGGTAAAAGTTACAGCCTATATATGTCCCACTGGTGCGCACAGGCCTCCCCTCTTTTCTGAGAGGATTTTAGGGCAAGGAAGTGTCCGCCGTGCTGCCCCAATGCGTGTTGGCGAACTTCACATGTCTTCGATTTTTTTTCTTATTCCTCACACATGCAGGTTTCATCATGATGTTTTTCCTTCACCGCCGTGCACGTGGTAAATCAGCACTTAAAATTGCAATTAATAATTTCATTGGTGCCAGCAGGGATCGAACCCAGGTTACTCGCATTCTGTTATATTCACAGCGAACGTTAACCATTTGAGCTACCACAGCTCACTTCGGCCATGGGTGCCCACATATCAAAGCATATGCAGTAGGACCTCTATAAGATAAAGGCCAAGGGAAACGTTAAATAATTAAGTTAATGAGGTTTTTACCTCAATTAAACCAAAATTAAGTTAAGGAGTTTTTATTGGTTAATGTTTGTACCTACAGAGGTTCATTTATGAGCTTTCTTTAGGAATTATAATCATAGATAGAAGAGCTAGGTTAAATGCAAATGAAACTTAATGTTAATACATAATATTTACATACATACTTTATTGTAGTTTTAAAGATACATTTATTCAAGTTTATTTTATTCTACATAGAAAGCCAGTAATTTTTTTTTGTTTCAAGATATTCACACTTTTTATATCAATTTTATTTTCAATATTAAATAAAGAGGTGATAATATCATTATCTGTATTACTGCATTGCTCTATAAAAATCTCTATGAAAAAGCTTATGATACAAATAAGTTACTGTACTTAGACCTTAGTGTATTGTTTACATTTGAAGGCATTTGGTAAACACATGTAAGTAATACCAATGGTCTACAGGAAACCTTTATTGTTTGCACATTCTTGAAAAGAGGAATGCCCACTCTTCATAGACATTTCGGCCATGGGTGCCCACATATAAAAGCATATAGATATGATAATATACAATTAAAGGAATGAAATGGTTAAGAAATTGGTTTAAAAAAAGTCGGGAATTTTAAGATATAAAAGTTTTTATTTTCACAAATACAGTTTTTTAACAACTAATTTTACAGATGTTATCGCATTTAATTTCTTTGATTTTTAATTCCCGACTTTCGGGTGCTTTCCAGCACACATGGTCATGGGGGATTGAGGTGACTGGTGTACCGAAATCAGTGTTAACTTGGAGTAACTTCAGCTTTTTAATAACTATTTATGGTCCGATCTACGCAGAATGAACTTACTGTCCTGAAGTCTTGCGTGGTATGCTTGGGTTTAGTTTTAATTTTATTAATTACAGTGTCCCAAGCAGGTGGGAATACCCAGCTTCATTCTCTATTGAAATTAGAATGTTTGAATCTGGGTGCAATACATTACCGACTTCAGATTGCAACGAGGATGAACTAGATTCAGATGGTTCCCGTTCTGCAGTTGAATGTGATGCTGCTCTATCAAACCTTCGCCAACAATTATGACACACACGAGATGACTTTGGCAACTGAAATAATATTAAATAAAAAAGGTGAAAAAGTGAACTAAATAAAAATAAAATAGATTTGTTTCCTTTAAACTCAAATACATATAAACTATTTATCAAGTTAATTGTTACTGCACAAAAGCAGACTTAATGGCCTATATTATTTAATAATTAAGCACTTAAAAACTACCAGTAGTCCAAAAACAATGAAAAATCAATTGTCTTATTACTTGGTAGTTGGTAAAAACGGTAGCAGTCTATCTGGTGGTGACAAGCTAATCTTATCGCCATGTTATAAATAAGCTTGTATGTTTGTCAGATATAGTTTGTGTGGATGTAATCAGAGTAAAAACATGTATCACTATCAGATATGAGCACACACACTTAATAAATTAAAAAACACATACCTCACGTGGTGCAATTTGATGGGCAATTTCATTCCTTATGAGTTCCTCACGTGGAGAATCAGACCAAACAATGTGTGTGATCTTATTCTCAAAAGTGACTTGCCACAGCTGATACATACATGTCCATGAC